TATCTATCTATCTATCTATCTATCTATCTATCTATCTATCTATCTATCTATCTATCCCTATCTCTATTTATCTATCCCTATCTCTATCTATCTATCTCTATCTCTATCTCTATCTATTATCTGACTATCTATATCAATCTATCTATATCTATCTTTCTCTTTCTCGTTTCCCTTTTATCTGTGCGCACACACGGACACACACACACACAAACTTATAATTGTGTGTAATATATACAGTAAATATTTTCTGCATTGATTGATATCATATGTGAGGAATGTGGGAGACTTTGGAACATGACTAGACATGCAGTAAAATACTGTAAGCAGAGCCCAATGGGTCAGTGTGGCAGAATCCTGAAAGACAGTCCTGCTGAAACAATGCAGAAGTGGGGATTGTGGCTCAAGCAGCTTCAGAGGGATGCAAGGGTTTTATTGACAACTGGGATAGAAGTTATTCCTATGATATTTTGGCAAAAAAACCTAATTATAGTCTATCCATATTCTTAGATATTACAAAAAGCTAAATTAAAAACAATGGACTAATTTCTTTGGTAGGGGAAAGAACAAGAGAGAAGAATATTGAGTTTGTGGAATGGTTATTAATTGTGACTCTTTACAAAAGTCTACAATGAAAGAGCAGGTAGGACAGTAAGAAATGACAAATGTTTGACATTTTGCAGTGGAGACAAAAGGAGAACTAGGAAGCTCAAAGTCACTGAATGGCTGTGACTGTCAAGGACATTGGGGGACTAACTGGAGGCTCCTGTCCTTCATTTGAACAGTGGGAGGATGCCTGGGGCAGGGACCCAGCCAGCTAGGCTCCAGCTTAAGAATGGAGAAAGCCCTGAGCTTTCTTGTTCCTTGAAAGACACTGCTTCACTGTACAAAGCTGCTGCTGGTGTGGTTGATTGGGACAAGGGTTCTTCCCATGTTGGCAGCCAAACCTGGCAGTACTGTTTGTGGGTACTGCTGTGGAGTCATGAAAGATGCAGGAGTCAGGTGGTCACAGATGCTTTCTCCATGGTATCAGAGAGCCCCGAGTCCTTCCCATGTTCAATAAACTCTGATGTTTACTGCATATTTTCGAAAAAAGAAAAAAGAACTTCAACTGTTGACACTGAAATAACGGAGAACTCATGAGTGTCTTGAGAGTCACACTGGAAGGCACTGGTACAACAATGTTTTCCGTGTAAGATATTCACAGTGGATGGAACAAGAGACTTTGACAAAAGGCCTGTGATTTCTAGGGAATGAAAACCAATATCTGTGAAAAAAGTGACAATTTGGTCACAGTAAGCAGGACATCCAGGTGTGTAGAGGATACAGGGTCATTACATCTGCACATGGTGTCGTCTCTGTGTGGAGCCGGGTCAGAGTAATAAATAGATGCAGAAAGAGGTAGACACAGAAAGACATATGTGTACATATGATAGATAATTGCATGATGGTTTGATGGTAGAAGGTAGACATCTGTATCTTCTTGTCATAAGGACCCCTGTACCACTGAGTAGTACTCTATATTCATGGCATCATTTGGTCTTCACTACTTTATTTCCTTAAAAGATCAGTCTCCAAACACAGTTTCTGAACCTAAGAGCTTCTACATATAAATTTCGGGGACATAATTGAACCTTCAACCCCAGAGACCCCGTTATTACCCATACACAAATATTCAGGAACATGGCATCTCGCCACCTCCTGATATTGCCATTTAATTTCTTCCACACTGTCTTCTAACCTAATTCTTTTTCTTGATGAATAGTGACAAGACGCATCATAGAAGAAGTTGTTGATTACCTCACAGACACACTCTGCAGAGTGGATCTGGAGCGCCTGGTAACTGAAGATGGAACCTGGAAGGCATTTGTGAAGGCAGTTGAGCTGTCAAGGTGACCTGCATGGTGAACCCAGCCCTTCCCTCCAGACCATAAGAATGAGGGTATCCCTGGGAAAAAATACCGACTCTAGGCAGTCCAAGGGGTGGGGTTATCAACACACCTTCTCAACCATCCAAGAGGAGTGTTTCTACCATGTGATTCTCTGGTGGAAATCACTTCAAGTAGATTGACGATGTTGCTCAAGGTGCCGGGACCAATTCTGTCATTTACTAGTTCTGTGGGTTTTGTCACCGTGAAACTGCAGTATGAGAAAGTAAGATAATGTGTGTGGAGTTCTCAGTATGTGACCGGTACACAGTGGGTGCCCCTGAAAGTTATCACTGAGAGCTACTTTAGAAATGAGAAGAGTACAGACTGTATTTGAATTTTGGAGTCTGGGTTATCACACTTAGGATAGTGTTTTCTACTTCCATCCAATTTCATGCAAAATTTAAGATATCATTATTTTTTACTGCTGAGTAGAACTCTAATGTGTAGATGTGCCACACTTTCTTTATCGATTCTTCCATTGAGGGGCATCTAGGTTGTTTCCAGGTTTTGTATATTACAAATAATACTGCTATGAACATAGTTGAACAAATGCTTTTGTAGTATGATAGGGCATCTCTTGGGCATATTCCCAAGAGTGGTATTGCTGGATCCTGAGGTAGGTTGACTCCCAATTTTCTAAGAAACTGCCATACTGATTTCCAAAGTGGTTGCACAAGTTTGCATTCTCACCAGCAATAAATGAGTGTTCCCCTTACTTCACAACCTCTCCAGCATAAACTATCATTGGTGTTTTTGATTTTAGCCATTCTGACAGGTGTAAGATGGTATCTCAAAGTTGTTTTGATTTGCATTTCCCTGATAGCTAAGGAAGTTGAACATGTCCTTAAGTATCTTTTGGCAATTTGAACTTCTGCTGAGAATTCTCTGTTCAGTTCAGTACCCCGATTTTTAATTGGGTTATTTAGAATTTGAATGTCTAGTTTCTTGAGTTCTTTATATATTTTGGAGATCAGACCTTTGTCTGATGTGGGGTTGGTGAAGATCTTCTTCAATTCAGCAGGTTGCCTTTTTGTCTTAATGACTGTGTCCTTTGCTTTACAGAAGCTTCTCAGTTTCAGGAGGTCCCATTTATTCATCATTGCTCTTATTGTCTGTGCTACTGAGGTCATATGTAGAAAGTGGTCTCCTGTGCCTATGTATTACAGACTACTTCCCACCTTCTCTTCTGACAAGTTCAGTGTGGTCAGATTGATATTGAGGTTTTAAATCCATTTGGACTTGAGTTTTGTGAACGGTAATAGATATGGATCTATTTTTGTTCTTCTACAGGTTGACATCCATTTATGCCACCACCATTTGTTAAAGATGTTCTCTTTTTTTCTATTGTATAATTTTAGCTTCTTTGTCTAAAATCAGGTGTTCATAGGTTTGTGGATTAATATCTAGTCTTCAATTCGATTCCACTGGTCATGTCTCTGTTTTTATGCCAATACCAAACTGTTTTCATTACTGTAGCTCTATAATAGAGTTTGAAGTCAGGGATGGTAATGCCTCCAGAAGTTCCTCTATTGTATAGGATTGTTTAGGTTATCCTAGGTTTTTTTTTCTTTTTCCATATAAAGTTGATTATTGTCATCTCAAGGTGTGTGAAGAATTTTGTCGGGATTTTGATGGGGATTGCATTGAATCTATAGATTGCCTTTGGTAGGATTGCCATTTTTACTATGTTGATCCTACCCGTCCAAGAGCATGGGAGATCTTTCCATTTTCTGGTATCCTCTTCAATTTCTTTCTTCAAAGACTTAAAGTTCTTGTCAAATAGATCTTTCACTTCCTTTGTTAGTGTTACCCCAAGATACTTTATGGTATTTGTAGCTATTGTAAAAGGTGATGTTTCTCTGATTTCCCTCTCTGCTTTTTTATCTTTTATGTATAGGAGAGCTACTGATTTTTTTTGAGTTGATCTGATATCCTGCCACATCACTGAAGGTATTTATCAGCTGTAGAGGTTCTCTGGTAGTTTTGGGGGTCACCTATGTATACTATCATATCATCTGCAAATAATGAAAGTTTGACTTATTCCTTTCCAATTCGAATCCCCTTGATCTCCTCATGTTGTCTTATTGCTATTGCTAGAACTTCAAGCACTATATTGAAGAGATATGGTGAGAGTGGACAGTCTTGTCTTGTTCCTGATTTTAGTGGAATGGCTTTGAGTTTCTCTCCATTTAATTTGATGTTAGCTGTCGGATTGCTGTATATTGCTTTTATTATATTTAGGAATGAACCTTGGATCTCTAATCTCTCCAAGACCTTTATCATAAAGGGGTGTTGAATTTTGTTAAATGCTTTTTTGGCATCTAATGAAATGATCATATGTTTTCTTCTTTCAGTTTATTGATATAATGGATTACATTGATAGATTTTCATATGTTGAACCAGCCCTGCATCTCTGGGATGAAGCCTACTTGAACATAATGGATGATTTTTTTTGATGTGTTCTGGGATTCAGTTTGTCAGTATTTTATTGGGAATTTTTGCATCAATGTTCATTTGTGAGATTGGTCTGTAGTTCTTTTTCTTGGTTGAGTGTTTGTGTGGTTTTGGTATCAGGGTAACTGTAGCTTCATAAAAATAGTTTGGCAATGACTCTTCTGTTCTATTATATGGAACACATTAAGGAGTTCAGGTATTAGTTCTTCTTGGAATTTCAGGTAGAATTCTGCACTAAGACCATCTAGCCCTTGGCTTTTTTTGGGGGGGGGGGCTGGGAAGTTTTTGATGACAGCTTCTATTTCCTTGTGACTTATAGGTCTATGTGCTCACTCCTTAGTGGATTCTAGCCATAAACAAAGGACATTGATCCTATAGTTCATGTTCCCAGAGAAACTAAGTAATAAGGTGAACCCAAAGAAAAACATACATAGATCCTCCTGGAAATTGAAAGCAGACAAGATTACCAGGCCAAAGTTGGGAGCATGGGAGTGGGGGTGGGGTGCGGTGAAGGGGAGAGGGGGAGAACAAAGGGAGAAGGGGAGATTTGAGGAGAGCTTGTGGGGGTGGGATGGTTGAGATGGAGGAAGGACAGATATGGGAGCAGGGAAGGAGCTATCTTAATTGAGGAGATAGAGACAGAGACCTACATCGGAGCACTGGACTGAGCTCTCAAGTTCCAGTTGAAGAGCAGAAGGAGGGAGATTATAAGCAAGGAATTCAGGAGCACGAGGGCTTGGTCCATCCACTGAGACAGTGTGCCTGAGCTAATGGGAGCTCACCAAAGCCAGCAGGACTGGGACTGAATGAGCATGGGATCAAACTGAACCCTCTGAATGTGGCTGACAATTGGGCAGACTGAGAAGCCAGTGATAATGGTGCTGGGATTTGTTTCCTGCCTGCACTAGCTTTTTGGGATCCTATTTTATATTGATGCATAGCTTCCTAGGCCTGGATGTAGGGGGAGGGCCTTGGACCTCCCACAGGGCAGGGTACCCTGTCCTCTCTTAGAACTGAAGGCGAAGGAGGAAGGGTGAGTGGGGGAGCGGGGGGATATAGGAGGAGGAGAAAAAGTGGAAATTTTGATTTGTATTATTTATAAAGTAATAAAAAATGAGAAAAGACCAGAGTCAGGGGTCTCCTGTAGGACTGAGGAATCAAGAACTTATTTTGAGATAAGCAATAAAAGTCTAAACATCATCAATCATGTTCCTAGGCTGTGTATCAATCACTCTCCTCCCTTTTGAGGAGCTGTAACAACAGCAGGATCCTTCTGTTGGATGAGGAGGTAAAGAACCCATAGTGCAACATGAACAGAGCTGGGTTGACCCTGACTGTCCCTACGGACATCTGGAGCTCCAGCTATGTCCAGTAGGAATGGGGATTCAGTCTGATAGGACATGGCGACAGCCTGGGATAAACAACAAGTCAAGGAGGAATAACCAAGTTCCAGCATCCTTCCCAAAGCCCAGAGAGAGAAGGACCAGATTTTCAGTCAAAGTTCAGGGGGTAGTATGAGTGGCTCCACAGTGGAGGTGTAGGTAAATAGCTAGAAGAGCAGGACTGGACGGACAGAGGAATTGAAGACAGAGAGAAGAGACCTACAGAGGACATGCAAGAGGGATACTGGGGTTTATCTCCTCTGCTCCAAACTCATGCTTTATAGGAGTGCAGTATTGGGTATGCTCTGCACATGCTGTGTGTGCTCAGGAGTTCTCAGGTGTTATTTTGGGTTCTCTTTCTGTTCTACACAGCACTCCCTGAATATCAGGGAGGGTGTGTGGCTAGAGACAAAAATCCAGGGTCAGTGTTGGAGGACGGTTTGCAGAACTTGGGAGTCTAAGGGGATCCTGTGTCACCATCTTAGAGGAAAATATTTCTCTTATTGTCTTGTCCAATTTCAAGAGCTATCCAGTCTATTTATCACTATTAGTGGTCTCTAGGGCCCTTGTATCTCTGTGCATGTCTTTGTTGTGTTCGAAGGTGACACTGTCACGAGCTATGGTGTCTGGTAGCCTGGTGCCCTCTGCCTGCAGAACACTGAACTAGACCTGCCAGGTCGTGGTTCAGGAGTGAGAGTTAAAGTCAGCCTGGATCCAGGGTTAATGGGCAGCTCTTCTGTCTCAGTCACCTTAGGCAGCCATTGATCTTGTGAAATCCAGCCAGGAAGGGAAAAGAATTTGGCAATCTGCAGAGAGCAGACTTCAGACAAAAGGATCTGGAAGGTCTTTTGTGGATCTGAGGGTTTGTTTCTGGTTTAATTTTCAATTCTCAGTAATAGTTAATGACAAAGTCTGAGGAAAGAGTCCCAGTGAGCCTTCTTTTTATATTTGACACCAGCTGTTAAGGAAGGACTACTCTAATCCAAACAGAATTGAGAATTTGCAAAAACCACACATAGAACTCACATATAAGACAGTTGCCACATAGTAACAGTCAACCATGTAGCAAAAGGGTTAAAATGAGCCAATGGAAACATCCACCAGACAGAAATAAGAGAGCTTCAAGATTCAAGTGTCTTCTCAGGATCCAGTGTTGTCCTGCACCGATTGTGTGACAAATCACATGACAACTGTAATGGTTTAGATAAAATAACAGAGTTCCCTGAGGGGTGGCAGTAAGTCACTGTGAGTGGTTTAGGGCAGTGGTGGGTGGGAGACCACAGCGAGCCACAGGGGTCAGCTGGTCCCATAAGGAGCTGCGACGGGTGGGAGATGGATAGGCAAGCCATGCAGAAAGAGGACTTTGGTATAGTGCAAACAGTGGGTTATGGAGGGGCAATGGGAGAAGGGGGAAGAGGAGAAAGAGGCAGGGAGTGAGAAAGAGAAACAGAGAGAAAGACAGATAGAGAGAGAGAGAGAGAGAGAGAGAGAGAGAGAGAGAGAAGGAGGGAAGGAGGGAGGATAAGGGAGAGGAGAGGAGAAGCTACCTCTTTGGTAGAGATAAAGAAATGGAAAGAGCTCAGGCTGGAAGCAGAAGGAAGATCCACTTGCCTGGGCAGACAGAGGGGGTCTCTTAAAGGGAGAAGACAGACTATTACATTCCCATCTCTTTTTTTATAATAAAAAGGCCGGAGGTTAGGCAAAACAGGTTAAAGGAATTGGGACAGCGGATTCTCAAGACTGTGTCCTGCTTATTTGTAGGCATCATCCTGGGGTGGGGGGGATCCTGAAAAAGCTGGGTACTGGTCACATCCTGGGATAGATGGTCTTTTTGCTCCTGTCTGGTGCTTGTGTTATAGAAATGCCTGGTGTCTCTTATACCTCTTTAAGGTATTGTCAGAACAGAGGGCAAAGTTAAGTTTAGAAAAAAAATTAGGATTAGGGTATTGAAAAGGGTGTATCTGACCTGTTAAGGTGGATCCTTTAATTCAGCGCACTAGAACTCACAAGAATTTTTTGGGTTTGCACCAAGATAAGTTTTAAACAGCAGTAGAATGATTGTGATGGATATTTTTGCATAATGAAAAGTATCTTTAAGACTATGAAAGGCAGTGTAAGAGAGAATATCTTATTGAAATTTGTTTGGTGAGGCTGTCCTTTTAAACAACAAAACCTCTCAGCTATCAAACTGCATCAAAGATCTTTGCAAAGAATAAAATTTTTACTTGAGTTATTGATTAAAAACGATGGAGAACCTACTTTGTTGGCACCTAGAACTTCTCTTCAGGGTCCTCCTTGGTCACTGAGGGTTGTATTTGTCTTTTTCTGTTTAGCACAGGGCCTGCCAGGCTCCAGAAGATCCTGTGAGCTAAGAATTCTGTAGAAAGACAAGCCCACCTTGACCTGAGCAGCTAGGCTATTGATTCCAGCAATTCTGTCCACTGTCAGGAGATCTTCAGTTTAGACAAAAAGCAGTTTTGCCCAGTGGTCAGCACTTGGTAGTTGAAGCGAATTGTGAATGGACATTGTTCTATGCTTGTCTGTCTTCTGTCTTCTTGGGAAGAATGAGAATGCTGCTGCTAGGAGCCAACCTGTCTATGATATGAAAAGTTTTAAATAACTAAGTATTTAAATGTCATATTCCCCAGATCTCTGAGTAGTTGAGGGTTGTTTACTGGGTATAGATAAGGTATGCTTACAGTATAGAATCTGCCTGGAGAGCTGGGTCCAAGCTTGACTGTAATGGCTCTCAACTTAACAGGTAAGATTTATACTTGTAAAAGACAGAAAGAAGAAAAAACTGCTTCCAATAGAAGATTAATGGGTAGAACTGACAATGGTAGAAAACAGCTTAACATACTTTAAAGCAGGGTTGGATTAACTATAACGAATTTTTGTAAAAGACTTAAAAGTACATGCCAATTTAAAACATGAGACTTATTGCTTTGTAGTCTGGAATGAGGTACAATGAACAGACAATTATAACATTTAACAGTAAACAAAGGGACTGGGGAGATGGCTCAGTGGTTAAGGGCACTGACTGCTCTTCCAGAGGAAGGAGCTGCCCAATGAAAAGAAAAGCAGAGCCAGTGGGACACCAGCAACGAATTTTCATGTGGGTGGCAGATAATTTGAAGTCAAGCAGAGCCACTGGGACACAGGCAGAGCATTTAGTTTGAGGGTTTATTCTTCATAGCTGAAAACGCGAAAACAATGAACGAACAGCACAAGGCCTATAGGAGAACGCCTTCTCTCCACAGGTGGGGTGTAAATGAAGTTAACTGGCCCCAGTCCGAGCAACTGAAAAGCCAGAGGCTAGAGGCCGTCCTGGATAATCTCTCACAGTGGAGACCACTTATGAGTGGTCCAAAAGAAAAGAAAAAGAAAGGAGAAAGAAAATTCCGAGGGACCCCAGGCCCCAAAGTGAATGCACCGCATAGCGTGTGCAGTGCTAGTATGGGAGGACCAACCCAGTTAGTCTGGTCACATCTTTAGCTATGGGACACAAACAGAGATAAATGTCAGCAAAGGGCTCAACCATAGCCGTGGTTGGGGACTTTCCCCCATTTCTAGGAACACTAGAAGATTTCCAGGAGCTCAACGGTGAATTCCTCGGGTTTGGAGAAGTGGTGAAGCTGACTGGAAGGGGAAAACTCACCACTGAAGTGACTGGTGTATGTAGAGGTCGGGGCGCAGGTAGATGCCCAGTTCCCAAGCCCAGGGTTCCAAGTCTCCTCAGTCAGCATGACCATGGGCAGGAGGAAACGTGGAGAGAACCTAGCCGAATCACAAGCGCCAATGTAATGGTAAAACGGTGCAGTTCCACGAGTGGCAGCAGCAGGTGGGAGACCACGGCAGGCCACAAGGGGAAGCCAGTCCCACACGGAGTCAGGGCGGGGGTAAGAGATGGAGACAGACAGGCACAGCATTAGGAGAGAGGATTTGGGTATACTTTATTCAATGGGTTATGGAGGGGAAAGTGGGGAAGGGAGAAGGGGGAAGAGAAGAAAGAGGCAGAGAGATATAGAAAGAGAAACAGAGAGAGAGGAAAGGGGAAGAGAAGAGAAGAAGCTACATCTTCGGGAGAGGGGCAGAGAAAAAAGAAGTCCTGCTGGAAGCAGAAGGAAGATCCACTTGCCTCAGTGGATGGGGGAGGGACAGGACAGACCATTACAGCCACTGCACACCAGGAAATCACGTGACTACTGCACACCAGGAAATCACATGACCACTGCAAACCAGGAAAACACATGACCACTGTAAACCAGAAAGCCCACCCTAGGAAAGAATCTTCATTCTGAAGCAGGTCTAAGAAGGCAGGAGAACACTGCTCAGGACTGTTGACCTAGGGGAACAGAGATGGAGCCACTCTGCACACACAGGGAGCTGAGGACTTACAGACACATGTCAGGAGGGCAGGAGGGCAGATCCCTTACAGGGACATCAACAACAGATCAATTGCAGTGACACAGGCCTCATGGGAATCTTCCTAAGGTTAGTGCATTGGCCTCCAGTGCCTCCAAGGGTCAGAAATGGCACCAAAGTCCCCACCACATGCTTTAAGGTTGAGCATTTTTATAGGAAATTCTTGGGAACGGATGAATCTAAGATCCTGCATTTCCCCACTTGGAAGCATTTACAGAAATTTTGTGAAGTTTCTTACAGACGAGGACTGAATCTCCTAATGCTGTCACTGTGTCCAAGAGATGGAGGAGTTTATGCAAAGCTTCTAAAGTAATTGTGCTGTCCCTGTGTACTGTCCCATGAGGACAGATAGGTGCTTTTGACGACTCAGGTTTGGGAGCCTTAGATATTGAGAAATCCACTCCTTGCTTGCACTATCTATGGTCTATTGCAGGGCTACCCAGGCCAGCACAGGCATTCCTGCAGGCTGGGTACTACAATGGCTATATTCCCAGCAGCTGAGGGCAGAGAGGTGACTCCTGAATCCCTCACAACACACAGTGTGCTATAAGTTAAAGATTATTTCTCTCAATTAAAGAACATTTGCTCTAACCTCACTTCCCTGTGCTCATCTACACGGTTCCCACAGGTAGTGGTGACAGTGACCTTGAGTGGAGGCATTTTAAAAAGAGTTTGTCCCTACAGTGCCATGGTTCAACTTTACACTGACCTGTATAGAATAAAGGCCATGGACATATATGATAACCCAGTGCTTATGGCAGATAGCACAATTATGGACTCTGTAAAATCATTTCCTATTGGGTTTGCAGTATGAAAGTATATTTTGAACAAGAGTTTAGTTTAAAAAAATACAAAGCCTGTTTCCCTCATACTCTTTTCCTCTTCTGTCACAGCGAGGAGGAAGCTGCCCTGCATGATGCGCTGAAGAAGCATTTAGCTCGGAATCCCACAGATAAAAATGAGAAGCTTGAAGAGGAGCTGAAGAAAAAGAGGTTT